AGAGATGGAGAAGTATCTGAATTTAGTTCCCATGATCTAACAGAGAAGCTATCTAGGCAACTTGGTGCTTTAAACCTATTCTCCCTTTTTCTTCACATAACCATTTTGTAAACAAAGCATTCATATTATACACAGTAAACAAATGCAGAGATTCATAGAAAGCTCTTAAAAGGATTTCAAGGTATCTATTTCAGCTCCAGCAGGTCTATTATTTCATATATAAGAAAAATACCCACAAATACATTAAATACCCATTTTTGGTTTTCTAACAAACACTGAATACAAACTTAATTAGTGAATAGTTGAACTATTCTTAGTTGCATTTCTCATGGACAAAAATACTGTTCTGAAAGCATAAGGTTTCAGTAGACTCATTTGTAACATTCAAGACCAAGAGATGGTAGAGTTGGCACAAAATGAAAAATATATGTATTTTTCTACACTACAACTAAGGGAAAAAGAATTTAGTTTTTTTACAGACTGACTAAACACAAGAAAAGGCTACACTTACAGAGGAGTAGTATGATGAGGGATAATTGCCCTAATTTATTGGAAATGAAGATAAAAATTAACATTGTGGAAAACATTCCTGCTGGTGGAAATGCCATTTTTAAAGATGCTTAAAATTAACTCTAGGAAAGCACTATAGTGTGCATATTGAAGAATGAGACTCTATACCACCTTGGGATCTAATTTTCAATTGTCTGTCTCACAGATTCTATATGCAAAAGATGTTACCTAATCTAGTAATCAGAATGTTATTCCATCAGAAGTACAAATTTAATAATGAAATTGTATTACAGCGCAAATAATGCTACATCTCAAAATCAGATTCTTTGTTATTTGGAGATATCATCAGTGAAACAAGACTGATTGATTACCTAGCTCTTGATAGCTTAGGAAGATTCTCCCAGCTCATCCATTCCTTTCCTATATGAACTCTGATTTTAAAAAAAAAGAAGCTATCTGGGAGCTATTTAATGTTAGTTCCATACAATGTAGCTATGGCTAAGCAGAAACCTTTCATTAAGCTAAGTATGGAGTTCTAACAACAAAAATTTAGTAATCCTAGGCAATACCCACAAGGTTCTGAAGAAACGAGAACCCTGTACTGCCTAAACATTTTTAAACGCTTCTATTGACCCACCTATATACCTCTCCTATGTAACTTAGCCAATGCTGTAGCATTTTGTATCCCTTCTGAAAGAGAAGGAATATGAGCTCTAAAAGAGCAAGGGGATGAAAAAAATGACAAACTGAAGAAGCTAAACATTCCAGGACTTTCTTATCCTTAACACTGTCTATCAGCTGATTTTGAATAACATAAGTTCAGGATAAGATCAGAGTACCTTAAAATGAGCCTGTAATTCTATGGGTCTGTCTTGCTCTTCCAGATGGCTCCAATTAAACCACTTCTGGATGTAAAAGATAAAGGGATGGTTGTTCTTAATTTCCAAAATGAAACTATAACTGTATAAAGTTTAAGAGGTGATAGTCTGTATCACACCTCTAATTTAAACATTTTTCAAGTGTTTCTATTACCAAAATGAAAATATTTTCAGAGGCTTTAATATAGCAGTGTGAAAAGAAAAACTAAAACCAGAAAATGAACTTTTGATTCAGAAGCTGGCATTTGAACAAACTGAGGCAAGCTAACCTACAGGATTTGAAGACAAAGGTATACATATTGAACACAACTGGCCTTAAAACTGAACCCTGAGGAGCACTCCTGGTGACTTGGTCACCACCCAGATCTAGCCACATTCACTACAGCACTTCGAGCTCTGCTCTTCAGCTTGTTCTTCACTCAGTGCACTGTGAACCCACTCATCCCACAGCTGGACAATTTGTCCAGAAGGATGCTGTAAGGGACAGCCTCAAAAGCCTTACTAAAATCTAGAAAAACTACATTCTCCCTTCAACCGTTAGGTAGATGACTGTATCATAGAATATCAAAATAGTTAAACAGGACTTTCCTTTTGTGAACCCATGTTGACTGAGCCTAATGTTTTCTTTGAATTCCTTTCAATAGCACCCAGTATAGTCTTCTCCGTAACTTTTCCAGCAACTGCCCTTTTTGTAAATTGGAATAACACTGGCTACCTTCCAGTCAGCAGTACCCTCCCCCAAACTCCCAGGACCTTTTTGTAGATGATGAAGAGGTGTCCTGCCACAACATTCACTAGGCCCTTCTGTACTCTCCAGTTTAATTTATTTTAACTCAGGGAGTTATTACAATTCCAGTAAAAATCAAAACCAAGATTAAATTTAAGGGAAAAATAAAATATTTTAGTATAGCCAAAATCCATTAAAGGTGGCATGTGCAGGCAGCCCATGTAAGAGGGGCCACAAGCAAATTGGAGGGTAGCATTCAGAACAGTATTGATAAATAAAAGCATTTTTGGAAAAGGACAAACAAATTTCCATTATACTGTAAGAACACCCACCTACATAAATATGGGATTGGAAAAAATGTTCTGTTCTGCAGAAAAGGATTTGTGGGTTATAGAGAATCACAAATAAAATGTGAGACAATGCTACCACTGCTGAAAGTACCATATAGTAATACATAAAAAGGGAATGTCATTTGCAGAAAACTGGGTTATTGCTATACTTCAGTATGTGACAGTAACTTCTCAGTTGAAATACTAATTTTGGGCACTTCAAGAAGTATCTGGAATACTTGGAGAAAACACAGGTTGACCAACAATGATGAGAACTAATCTCCTTCCTAGAAAACATGACGAATGAATAAAGTTTGCAGGGACTGAAGTTGTTTGGGGAGAAGAGAATGAGAGGAAAGAGTACATATTATAGACATCACTACAGCCTTCAAATACATAACAGGTAACCAAAAAGACTAATGGAAAGGTTTTCTCCATTTTCACATCAGGCTGAAGAAGGAAGACGGAATATTTTAACTAACAAGAGAAAAACTTCCTAACGATAAGCATCAGAAGAGACTGTAGAATATTTCCAGTGGGGCACATAGGGCTTGAGAATAAGACAAACAGCTGTAAAAAAATGTTTTATTAATAGTTGTTCTGGGTCTGGATAGGGAAACAGAAAACTCCACTCTTTCACTTCTTACTGAGTGAAAAGAGTTGAATAAACATTAACAGCTAAATCTAAAATGCAGAGATCATAACACTGTGCAGACACCACGGGCATAGTGCTATCATTTCTCCAGCTATGGCTTAGCACATTGCTGTAGTCAGTTTTGCAAAGCATTATTCATGTAGCTGGGGAACAGGAAATACAGTGGGGCTGTGTCACCAAATAATTATAAGCAGAAGTACTACTGAAGTACTTTTTGGAGTGGCAATTCTGTCTTCTCCTCACCTACACAGTACTATGTATGCTCTGGTGCCATTTAATGACAGTAATTGATCTTGTTGCTTGATCTAGCAAAGGCCTTGGCCTTTTCTGTCCCCTTCATTCACAACAGTCTGTGCACTGCCTTTAACTTCTCCTCCAGCACCCTGGGGATTCAGCATCCGTAATGTCAGTATCACATTCACCTCTTCATTAGCTTCACCTGAAGCTGACTGACTATAGCCAAACCAGTAAATGAAAAGGTCCCAGTTTACTCTGCAAACATGTTCAGGCACTGAAATCCAACATGAATTTTTCATATTGCTAAACAGTTTAAACAATCTTGGAACAACTTTGGTTGGCCATCTTCTCTCCCAGACAACTTAGATACAGTTTGAGAGTTCTTGTGGGACAGATAATGTTCCCACCAGGTGATTTCAGCCTACTCTGTGAGCCCAGGAGGCAAAGACAGTTTAATGGTAAAGATGTGGGTCATCTCATGTCCCCTGGTCTCAGTATCATAGGGCAGTATGAGGCACATTTAATGCACTACTACAGCCATACCCATTGCTCTGTGAGGCCCCAAGTAAAGAAATCATTATTAATGGCAGCCAGAATAGAAGCTGTTGCACTCAGGAACTGTTAATAAACAGACAGAAATAGTACATTCTCTCCTGGACTCTTCAGAATTAAGTAATTGTTTTAATTAGTTCCCACTGTAGACCCCAGTTCCCACCACAGCACGAAGAAAAAGCCAGCAGTTGCAGTCTAGTAATGCTCATTCCAAGTTTCCTTAGTATTTTGTTACTTTAATTCAAATGCTTCTATTCACATAGGGTTTCTTGTGTTGAATTGTAGTACAACTGTTTACCTAAGTGGCAGCAGCATACTCTGTGATAAATTAAATGGACATTTATCAAAGGTAAGTTGACAGATTTAGATGTTGAATGTAAGCACTGTAAGACAAGTACAAATAGCTTCTACCTGGAAGTTACATATACAAATCACTGGATAGGTATTTTAATTAACTTAAATAAAAATAAAAAACACAATAAAAAATGTTTGCTTCTGAATGACTGAAGAACATTTCTTATGAGAGGAAGACACAAAATGTCATGCAATGTATTTTTAAGTAGTGTTTGCATACAAATAAAAATTGAAAATCTTTCTTCCCATACACCACAAGTAAGAAAGAGACAAAGAGTGTTTAGAAACATAAATCTTGAGGTCAAGATTCATAGTTAAATTAAATGGACAAGTTAAGACAGTTCCATCAGCAGAAGTATAATACATGGGTAAAAGGGGTTTCATTATTATACCCATTTTATTCTTAATACATTTGAATTATGATCTAATAACATAAACATGTAGCCACCTCTGTTTCACATCAGGGAATGATGAGAAAGCCTAAAAGTAGAAGACATACAATAGTCAGTGCTAAACCCAAAGAAAATGTATTTCTGCTGGTAACAAAATAGTTATTACATTTCTCTTATTTCTTAAACCCATCTAGTCTTCTTGCCCTACTAACTTTGATCCTTAAGACAACAAGCTGGAAACCGGAAGCAAACTGCAAACGCACAGGAGCACAACGATAACTGCTTTCTCATCAGTGCTTCACCCTTCAAAACACTGAAGCATTTGTACACTTAAAATGCTAATAAAAACTAAAAGTTTTTACTCACAGTTAAAACCAGGTTCAATAGTTTTTCCAGCTTCAAGACTGTTTATTGTAATCTGAAAGATGATGTGCAGCAGCAGAAATGATAGACTGGTGAAACACAGAGATTTTAATAATCGTCCTGTATGCCCTAAAAAACAAAATATACATACATAAAGTTGGTGAATTTCTAACCATTGCTTAAAGCTTTTCAGTATAAAACCAATAAAAATATCCTGACCAAAGATATTTCTACAAGTTTGTTCCACATTACTTGTTCCACATTACTCATGATTGTCCATAAAGGATCAACATCATAGCAAAAAACATACATTAATTATAGTGTCTTTGAGTACTCTTTAATCGCAAACCCCAATGATTGTTATTACTGATATTTCCTTTTGTCACCAAAATCCAGGAAATAAACTCGCTAACTAGAATAAGAGGTTAGACTTTGACTTTTTGGATTAAGAAAAAAAAAAAAGATAAAATAAAAATTCTCAAGTCTCAGGCAGCCATTTTACACCAACAATAACATCATTATGCTTACCACCAACATTATCTAGTACGAGGACAAAATATGGAACCTTGAGAAAATAAAAACTTATTAATCAAATTACTCTTACCAAAACAAATTAAACAGGAGGGGGGATAACACCACAAAAGCCTCAGTTTGGCTCAGGAGTACAGATATACTTTCAAATGAATGCTTTGCTTTGTGCAAACTGCCCTCTTTCTCTTCCTTTAGAAGTTTTTGAAAACAATTTTCTGTACACACTGAAGCCAGATCCACTTGGTCATAGTTCCTCTATGATTCATTGCCTATCTGTATCCAAAAGTCAGTAGAAAATGTTTGACAAAGACTTAGAAGATGCCTAATAAATCCTCTAGGAGACACTCAGTTTAATCACAGGCAGCCAAACTTGCAGGGTATGAATAAAGTAAACCATTATTATTTCAGAAAATATTCATCTTCAAGACTAATCTGTGCTGACAAATGAATAGTGATAAAAGACAACATTAAAGATCACCCTACCTGACCTATCAGCAGTAGAAGTTCTATTTCCAAACTATTTTATATCTAGATTTTACACCACATGCTTCATGCATTTGAGGGTAATTATTATTTTTTTATTTACAGATTAAAAACCAATACTGCTGGAATTCTTACTCAAGGTTACAAATAAAGCCATGGCTATGGAGGGCAGAACTAGAAGAGTATACCTCGGAAATGTTCACTCTACACACAGCCTGTTTCGTTCATACTTATTCTCACGTATCTGTTATGAGCATCTACTAGAAAGATGACTGTTTATATCCTGTATCTAGCCAGTAAAACAGTTTTTTGCTTTATATTCTTTATAGTTCAAGCATGCCATTGATGGTCTGAATGGCAGAAAGCAAAAAATCAGATAAACATGATTCAACAGTTCTAGAAACAGTCTGACTATCTCACTTCATCACACTCCAAATTTCTGTTACATGATCACTATCTTGACTGCAAATTTTGATTACCAAATGCCAGTAATAAACTTCTCTATTTTATTTTTAAATAAAGAGATTAAAGAATTCAAACAAAATGAAAAATGGAAAAAGTGAGCCTACATATGAATTTCTGCGATCTGAAAAGAAAGGTACATTCCCTAGATACATGTTTTGTATGACCTATTCAGTAGTCTTTACTGGTAAGACACCAGAGCACTCACTACTGTGTGTGCAGCACTCTGGGCTGCACAGCATTACAAAAAAAACCCCAACTACAAGATTTTAAATTCTTTCAATTAATGGTCATTTTTTGCTCCTCCTCCACAGAAGCTGGCCTGATGTCCTGGCTTAGGACAACAATTTCTAAGCACTACCAAAACATAAATAACAAAATATTTTCAAAATCATTAAAGAATGAATACATGACAAGCTATATGTTATCAAATCATGTATTAAATGTGATGCCATATGTAATGTAACCCAAGGACTGAAATCCAAGGATTGCATTTCGATAGCTTTTACAATTTTTTGGCAAGTTTGAATATTTGTTAGTTTGTTCCTGCATTACCCGATCCTCTGCTCATGGTATTATGAGAGCTGCATGTTCACAATATACTAAAAAATTACATGTCTCAATGCTGGAGACCAACAGCTTGGCAACACAAACTCCACAGATATAAGAGCTGTGTTAAAATACATAGATTCCAAAGACAGTCTGATGATTTCTGAAGTTCTGAATCACAAACTCTCCTCAGTGCTTGGGAGTAAACAGTTCAATAAGTATCAAGCATGGAATTTTTCATATAGAAGTGGATTTTGAAGGTTTTGATAAAATTGTTTCAGTCAGCCTCCAAAGGAGAAAAAAATACAATACAATCAGCCAACACACATTCATTTCCCAAACTATTTCCACAGAAAGAAATAAAACCATTAAAAGTCTTGGGTCCATCTTTTGATATTTCAAATACCATATCTCTCCAAAGTAAATCTCAATTTTAGACCTAATTTTTTAAAGCTTGAAAACAAACGTATTTAAATTGCTGATTGAAAAAAACATTTCTTCTATGAACCCTTAACTTTTGCAGTTGTCTTTCACTGTAGAAAATGTTGAAAATACATTTTTTGAAATGCTGAAGTGCTGCTAGGAAAGTTTTAAAGGACTAGTAACACCCATCATAATAAACAATTTCTCAGTGTACTGGTAAATATGGCAGGGGAAATACGCATTTGGAAGGCAGCTAGTTACAACATTTCTCAAGAACTGCTCGCTTTGTGGCCATCTGTGGGAGAAGACCACCATCAGATCCTTCTGAGCAGAAGCCCTTTGCCTGCACCACATTCAGCTGCGCCAGCAGAAACTAGCCACAAGTAGTACTTGGAGAAAAGTAAGAAATACTATGACCCTAATTTCAAAAGTTTTGGAGAGACATCAACAACTTGAGAGAAATGGGAGTGCTAAAAATCAGAGAATTACCGGATACATAATTTATGCGAAGGAAGAAGTGACAGATTTGGATAAGGGATGAATTTCAATTTATAGTGGGGTTTGGATAAACCCATTTGACTGTATTTTTACTCATATTTTTTTCTTTTTACTGGAAACTTAGTTCTAAATTGCACAAAGAAAACATTAACTGTATGCCTACAGAACTAAGATGGTGAGTAGACAGCTGAAATAAAGCTCCTCACATAAAACAGAGCTGCTTACAATGAGGAAGAGATTTTTGCCATCCTTCTTTTATTTTTCTTTACTCTAATGCAGTCACAGCTACAATCCTTTTCCTAAAACATACCTTAACTGTTAAGTTACCCTAACATGAAAATCCCTGGGGACATGAACAGACACTGACTGTCCAAGAGGGAAGGAAATGCATATTCAGTAAACTGAACGGACAGAACATCGCCCCAGCTGACACCAGAAATTGCAACACCGATTCCTTCATTTCTGTCTTAGATGTAGACTCACATATGTCCATGAAGAGTAAAATAAGAAAGGTCTTCTGCCAAAACACTGTCTCTGTAGCCTGAGCGCTGGGTTCTGCTTTTACTCACACCAACTGTGGTGCCACAAGCTTCAGAAAACTCTGGTGGATGGAAAGGGAAGAGCAGATTTCCCTCAGAACTGGCCTGAAACACTATGAAAAGTGGGTTTGCTTTCAGGTGCAGTGTGGCATAATGGCACTCAGTGGAACCAAAACATGGCATGTGGCTTTAGAAACTTACCCCTGTGTGTCTCAGAAACACACAGGGAGGTTGCGCCAGCCTCAGTGTCCCTCCAAAAGGCTCCTGGGAAAGAGCTTTCTTCCCTCCAATCAAACCTACAGGAAGCCTGTCAAGATACAATGGCTTCATTACCCTCTTTCTCTCCAGGCCAGCTGCAACACTAAACCAGACTCAAGAGGGCCAAAAACTTTTTCACACATGGCAGAGGAATCCATTTCTTATTTTCCAAAGGTAATCCAGCCAAGAGCTGGATTAGTGATGGCATGTCCCCCCCAGCCACAGGCATGTAACTTCAGTACAACTATTTGAATGTGATCAAGTAGGACTGCTACCTTCAACAAACACATGCACCTCTTGAGTGCCTACATCATGATTGTATGCCAAGGTAGAGCCTGCTGTTCACACCGTTTCCAACACAGACAAACAGTACATTCATCTTTAGACAGGCAATCTTGCAGTCTTTTCTGTTGCTCCTTTCCCTGAAACAGCAGAGTATGACAGAATTCAGGTTTTTTCTGTACACTTGGAACTTCCTAACAGCCTTTTCCAAAAGGGTGCGCTAAATAACCAATAACCAAATGGCCAGTTGTCATCAAGACCTGCTTTAAGAATCACATCTATTTGCTTTTACAGTATAATCTGACAACAAATAATTGGTTGAGTCTCTAACAAAGTCAATAATAGTACTAACAATTCAGTCTGATTTTCAAGAAGTAGTACTAAGCATCTATATTTAGGTGATAAATTCAAAGGGTCAGTATTCATTCTGCATGTCATTATGATATCAGTAAAAGGAAAACAGAGGAGGAAAAAAATTCATTATAAAAATTAATTTAAAACCATTTATTATTACAACAGTGTAATTCTCCTTCATCATGATCATACATATGCTGCAAACTTTCACCTAAAAAGTAGATTTTAGAGGGTTTGGGTGACTTATTTGGAGTTGTTATTACTTTATTAGGATCTTTTTTTTTTTTTAATGTAATCTTATTGTTCCATTGTCAGTTGGGATCTCAATAATTCTAACATCTCTTTAGCCATACACTGGACCCAAAACTTCTGCAACACATCCAATTCTACTTCAGTAGCTTTGCTTGGGAATTTATTTACACAACTCTTTCCATTCAGATCACAGCAGATTAAATACCAAAGCACGAATCACTTTTCATATAATCTTTGATAGCATACAGTGAGTAATAAATATTAATGTGCATTTATCTACTGAACTAGTGACACTTCAGTTAATAAAGATACTCTATTACAGCCAGTCAGGATTTATTTTTTAATAAACCTCTTCATCAGTAAGCAACAAACATATAACTAAAGAGCTCTGGGGACAAGGCCTAGTTAAGGCAAACTTCTGCAGCACCAACAGGGTCAGTCTCACAGAATTTGTTTCAGCTATCTTAAAAACTTAGCTTCTTGATTTTCCACCAGGAA